GGCTGACCAATCAGCAGAAAGGGGCGTTTAATTCCAGCCCACATGTAGAAATCGAATATTCAAGCTGTTTATTCATTTTTCCACCCATGAACGAAAAACGTAAATTTAAGCTGAATTCTCGTTTTTCATTTTTTGGGAGAAAAAAAACAAAAAAACAAAAAGGAGCCATTTTCTCATTTTTCTACTTTCAATATTAAATCAAAAAACGAATGATCGAATGATACATGGATTCCTTTAACTTCCTATGAACACATGCACAGGACAACCAGATCAGTCTCTTTCTCTCTCTTTTTCATAATCAAACATAAAAATGTTGTCTGCTGTGATCCTACTGTGTACCTGTAAGTGCATGAGCACAACTTTCTCCAAAAACCTCTTAATCGTTTTCTCAATCGCCCAAGTCGTCCAATTTTGGGAAGCTTTAATCTGGAACATACATACACAAAACAAGCATGAATGCTGACTGACAAGCATGCAACAATGAATTAATTAAAATAAACCTATAATGACCACCATCCTGAGTGCCTGCACATGTATGTGTGTGTGTGTGTGTGATTTCAGCATATATACCTTATTTCTTTGAGTGGCAGTTGTTGGACACACTCTTCATTAGTCCAGTCCCTTTCCTCCTCAAACACACAAACACATTTCTAAACATTTTCAATCTCTCAGATATATAAAAAACTAAAGAATTTTACATACTAGCAATGACTAATAGTTAAAAACATCCTGATTTAATTCATCAACCCAATCACACAAAGATGCAACCATCATTTGAAACATAAATTTATAATGCAGTATAAACTCACTGCTGTTTTGCTGGTGGATGCATGAGGGTACATGTTTGGCAGCAGGTGGATCTGGTTGTCCAGCAGGTGCTCAATCAAAGCGTTACACTGCCCCTGTTCTTCAACCATGGTGGGGCCCAAAGGAACGCTGCACATGCAGATAACAAATACATGTCACCTTACTAAATACACCACACACCCCGTCTTCATTTTATAACTGACAACTCCATCAGACAGGTCTCTGTGTCTTATATTATATCCTGAAAACTTGTGCATGTAATTCTAGACACCTCAGTCCTTAAGTTATTTTGTAATGTGTTCTAAGAACTATATCAGACTATATCAGCCGAATACACACATACAAACACTTACTGAAAGATGTTAGGTCCAAAAACTATTGACAAGTTTTTAGACGTCATAAGATTTAGATGACTCTCAGCAGCAACACGGGACAGGAAGAACATTAGGTAGCAGAGGACATTTAAATGTTCTTCTGGAAGACTGTTCAGCACAGTCCTCACAGCCTGATTCAGTTCATCCTTTTTTGAATCTGTAAGATACAAGGATTCAGTAAGATGGAGTCGGATCTTATAAATCTGTTTTGTTGAGCAGCAAGTACTTAAAATGTTCACTCATCGCCACCTTAACTTCTCTTACCCCTGAACACCTTCAGCAGTTGTGTCCTGTGTGGCTCTGGAATAAGTCCACCAGGCAATTCCCTGAGGAAAACTTTCAATAAGGAGGCCGAAGTAAGAATATCCCAACTGTCAAACTCTGGAAAGCCTCCCTCATCGAAACTTTTCCTCAGTTCCTTGCAGCGTTTCACTGAACTGCCGGCTCTGAACAGGCCACTCTTACTGAGACCTAAACACAAACACACATTTTACAAATACACACAACAACTACATACAATTGACAAACA